CGGCTACGACACGATGGTCTCGGCAGCGAGACCGTTGGCTCCCACTGTAGTCGCCAGTTTGTTTTCATCAAAAGTTGATCTCGTTGTGGAATTCATTATATCTTCGATCGATTACAACAAATTCAAAAGAGATAGCCTTTTTATAAGACTTCTTTTACACAACAAAAGGAAAATTATAACTTTTTAGAAACAAACGCAGGATCGTTGTTTGGATCGCTGATTGTGTGGGATCTTTGCCTGTGTCGGGGGTGCGTTAGCCCGTGGATCACCGAATCACAGATTCTGATTGAATTGTGAAGGCTTTGGGATTCTTCCTTCGTTTATCAAAGTAGGAATTTAAAGTGAATATCTTATCAAAGTAAGACGATCACTCTTCTTAAGATCAAGTCAAAGCTCGAATCTCAAGGAATTGCCAGAAGCTCCAGTACTCTGCTCTATCTGCTCCAAAATGCTCAGCGCCCCTCAGTAATGATCCTAGAGGGGTATTTATAGCCTCCAGGAACAGTTAGAGGAAAAGTTGGCCGAGACAGAGTTTTCTGTCTCGGGTTCCGAGACAGTAAACACTGTCTCAGAAAATCCAACTGCCCAGCGGTTTCTGCCGTAACTACCTTCCCACGTCTCAAACTCCGTTATTTTAACAGTTATCCACGTGATTCTCGCCCATGATGTTCCCCATGTTCTTTGACCGTTAATGGAAACGTGTCGGTAGTTATACAAAACAGTTTCTGAATCTTTGAGAGCTGTCTCGCGTGCGAGATAGTAAACACTATCTCGCACGGCGAGACAGTAAACATTGTCTAAACATTGTCTCGCTTGCCGAGACAGTAAACACTGTCTCGCGTGCCGAGACAGTCTACACTATTCCTTGTGTTCTTTTGGATGATCTCCTCTTGAGCTATATTTGGATATCTTTCAGCATTTTTTGACGCCTACAATTACAAGTACCAAAAATTATCAAGTTAACACCACACCTCTGATGATAAAACTAATTTATCAACTCTCTTTAATAGAGTGATAAGTTCACAAAAATCTTGTTCAAATCATAACTACCAAAAATCATCAAGTTAACACGACACCTCTGATGATAAAATCAACTTATCAACTCTCTTCAATAGAGTGATAAGTCCACAAAAATCTTGTTTAAATCACAAGTACCAAAAATTATCAAGTTAACATCATACCTCTGATGATAAAACAAACTTATCAACTCTCTTCAATAGAGTGATAAGTCCACAAAAATCTTGTTCAAATTACAAGTACCAAAAAATCATTAAGTTAATATCATACCTATGATGATAAAATTAACTTATCAACTCTCTTTAATAGAGTGATAAGTCCACAAAAATCTTATTCAAATCACAAGTGTAAAAGTCATCCAGTTAACATTACACCTCTGATGATAAAATTAACTTATCAATCCTCTTCAGTAGGGTGATAAGTCCACAAAAATCTTGTTCAAATCACAAATGTAAAAAATTATCAAAGTTAACACTACACCTCTGTTGATAAAAGCAATTTATAAATCATCTTCAATAGGATGATAAGTTCACAAATTATTGTTATGTTAACACCACACCTCTAACAGTTAAACCCCCATAAACTTGTTAACTCTTTTCAATAGAATAGCAAATGTTTATTATCAAAGCGCGAGGGTCATACTCGCGTTCCAAATTCTAAATGTGAGGGTCATCCCCGCGTTCCAAATTCCAAACGCGAGGGTCACCCCTGCGTTCCAAATTCAAAACACAAGGGTCACCCCCGCGTTCCAATATCAAAACGTGAGTGTCACCCCCGCGTTCCAATATCAAAACGCGAAGGTCACCCTCACGTTCCAAAGATAAAGCGTGAAGATCACCCCCCGTGTTTCTAATTACATATGCAAGGGTCACCCCCGCATTTCTAATGGTAAACACGAGGGTCATCCCCGTGTTTTAAATTTTAAAAAAATGCAAAGCTCACCCTCGTGTTTCAGAAGCTAAAACATGATGCTCACCCTCGCACGGGTCTTATGTGGCAAATCTCTGCAACTAAATTCATGGTGTCTTCGAGATGAATGCAGTGAGCAACTCCTTTATAGTAAGGGATCAACAATAGACTATTCTAAGATCAAAATCAAGATCCAAAGTATTTCAAAAATTCATTTCAGTCAACCGCAAACTTTTGAAAACATTGGAGGGGGTTCTGTAGGATGTCAAAAAATTACTGCAGATAGTTAGTCCCCACAAAACACTGATGATGAAAATTATAAATTGACGAATCTCACATTTCAAAAGCCAAATATAATGATTACAAGCTGACAATCCTTGCAAAATTTGAAGAAAAAAAAGATATTACAATTGACGATCTCTTCAAGGCCAAATGCGAGGGTCCATCCTCGCGTTCCAAACTCCAAACACGGGGCTCACCCTCGCATTCCAAACTCTAAACGCGGGGCTGTCTCCCGCGTTTTAAAAGCCAAACGCGAGAGTCCACCCCTGCGTATTGAAACTAGAATGCGGATGTCGCGTTTGACCATTTCAAATTACTTGAAATGTTACCTAATTATTGAGGCCATTAAGCCCGCATTATGGAGCGAATTAAGGGGTCGGTTACACCCGTTAAACTCTATAAATAGTCGGGTTTACAGCTAAAATGGGGTTGGCTTTTGTTGGATCTTTCGAGATCATTTGGCTTGGCTTTTTTGAATAATTTTTGATTGAAGAACTTTGAGATCGACTGTTTAACTTATTTCGGTTGAAAAATGATTAAATTTCTTTTTTGAAATTAACTCTTTCGTAGAGTTCTTAAACTCGTTTAGAGTTCTAAACTTGCTTGACAAGTTCTTCCCGATGTTAAGTCAAGAAGAGTAGACAAAGTTTCACGAAGCGAGGCGTTCGGATTGTCAACGGGATACAAGAATCAAATTCTCATCACTACCAAGAAGAACCCGATCTTAAACAAAGAGGGAGATCCGTCATTCTCTCTTTTGTAAATCGAAAGACCGATCAAGAAGATTGTAATTTCTTTTTTCTAAATCAGTTAGAGAGAGATTGCAAAGAGAGATTGTATTCTTTCTTTTTCTAAGTCTGTTAGGAGAATTAATAATATTTTTTTCTTAATTTTCTTCTAATTTTCCCGCGAACAAAGGGGTAATTTAGGGTTTATAATTTATTTTTATATACACTGCATACATATTGGATGTATTAGTGCTTTTTGAGTTTAGAGGCAAATATACATAATTCTGTGTGTTTGTAAAAACATTTGATACTTGTTGGGTTATAAATAAATCAAAATAAAGCATTGGGCCCCAAGAAAAAAAAACCCAATTTTTTTCCCCTTCCAAAACCATCTTAAGAATGGTGTCCATGAAAAGCCGGAGCATTGTATGATAGCACAAGTTGCAGTATAGCGGTGGGATTGCTTCCTTTCCTCTCCCTCGCTTTCTCCAACTAATTAAAATCCAAATTAATTAAAGTTTGGTTCATGCATATATATTATTATTCATGCACTTAATTGTTCCCAAAATGGCACGGGCGCCCCGCTTATTTCTCCAATGCAAACCCACTCACTGTTCATTGAACTAATCACCCCTTGGGTAACAAACAATTAACATCAATTCATAAATTACTAGATTTTGAGATTTACAGATAGGGAACCCCATGTGTTTTACCATCTTGGGTTCCCTTTGTTGACGGTCAAAGTTCTCAATTACACACTAATCGAAGACAACAATACTTTATTACTATAAAGATCTCATTTCTCACTTAATTACCCTTTCTCTCTCATCATACACGCACACTTAGAGAGTTTGAAACTTTGAATTGTGTACAAGTGCTGGTAGTAAATTACAAAAAAAATTACCCCCAAAGACCCGTGAAAAAAGGGTTAGTGTCCCTTCTATAGGAGCATTAGCAAACAAAATCCTCTTACCCCTCCTCAGGTCTCTTTTTCCTTCAATTGAAGTAATAGCTTTTATAGGACTTGCTTATAGGATTTCTTACCCCTTAATTTGTTTGTTCTTAAGAATGCTTGTAGGGTTTTGAGAGGTAATTTATAAGATAAAAGACTCAAATACCAAAAGTGATGAGTAAGAATACTTTAATGGATGCAAGAGACATATATGCATGTTATGCTTAGCTCAAGTATGAAGAAAAAGATTATTGCAATAATATTAATATATAAGAATCCATTCGATATTTGGAGTTAACTACCAACATTTGTTATTGCTTATAAGTGCGAAAATATAGCTCCAAAAATGATCATAATCTTTTTTGGATTATAAATGTTTTTATTTCTACAGTAGCCAGACTATCAGTTTGTCGTATTTGGATCCTCTTTATTTTCAAAAACTAGTTAAAACATCACTACTTTTATCACAATTGTTTATCTGCATCTAATGGATGATTTTGAGTTGTTCTAAATCTAACACACAAAAAATCACAATCATGTATCAATAAATCAACTATTGGTATTAAAAATAGACCACTACTTTTTTTTATAATAAAGAGGATCCATATCCGAAGATAATCACACATTTAAAAGTTAACAGATATGATATCTTCACTATCTCGGTAGGAGAGAGAACCAAAATGCCTTCCTACCTAGCAAGAATGTTTTTTTTCCTGTAAATTGTCCAAATCAACTAGTATGATACTTTCTCATAAAATTATCAAGCATTCACAAGCATACTTATTTTTAATTATTCAACATGCATGTGTTCAAGAACATATAAATATTTTCCCCCCCTCCCCAAAAAGGGTCATTACATTAAAAAGAGACTCTCATTCACTATTCAAGAAAAGATACTAAGAAATAAATCTTCAACATATATATAGCTTTCTTTCAAATGTTTGCGAGATAGCAATTTTATTGAACTATCTTTTCTTCTTCTTTTACTTTTTCTTCATATACGTGTGTGTATGTTGAATAGGTGTGAGAGAGAGAGAACGGGATGGTGACAGTACATTAATAAAGTAATAATATTTCTATGCTGCCTTTTTTTCCTTCACAGCTTCTTCCAACTTCCTCTACTCTTTCAAACCCTAATATATTTCTCCCTCTACTCTCTCTCACTCTACAGTTCTTCTTTTTATTCTTACTCTTCTTCATTTCTCCTTCTTCAATGGGTTCAATGAACAACTGGTTAGGCTTCTCTCTATCTCCGACGGAACTCCCACCCTCATCACACTACCCCTATCAAGCTCACCCCTCTCCAACCACAGTCACCAGCAACTGCTTCAGCTTCTCAACAGATCACTCAGCATCTGATAATAATCATCAGACTCCTCTCGTCGACATCGACTTTCTCAGCTCTGCTCCCCACCATCAACATCAAGGTCTCTACTTTAATCTATCAATCAAATAAGCAAACAGTTGCCACAGAAGTTGCAGATGTTTGTTTCCTTGAAAGTTAATGGGGTTTTTTCCCCCATCAACTATTGTTGTAAAAACACTACTCCCTTTTTATTTATTTATTTATATTTCAAAATCTACTTGTTATCCATTTGATTACTATCGATCGATTGTTGTTTAAAAAAAATTTAGTGACAACTGCAATTACTATTTTCGTAACAAACTATAACAACACATATGGAAGCTATTTTATCTGAACCAAACAGCTGGCCCTTTCGTCCATGGAAACCTCAACCTCATATTGAGTTTTTTATGGTTCAAATATCAAGTGAAGTTTTATCATCATGTGTCTTTCTAATAGTTCCTTTAATTTCTTGGGAGTGCATATATGCGTAGATACACAATATTTTCCCCCAGTATGTATATATGTCTAATGCTTGCTGGACTCTTGACAAACCCTATTGATTCAATTCCTTAAATTTACAGAATGGAACATGAAGAACTGTGAGCTTTCAATGCTGGTTGGATCTGATAACAAAAGTATAAATAACAGTGAGCCAAAGATGGGAGATTTTCTCAGTGGGCAATCATACTTGTACAATGAGGGGTACCCTCTTCAGCTTCCAGTTCAAGCAGTGATGCCGACAATGCCGAATATTAACGCAGAAGAATCACAGTCAAGCTCTAATCTGCCGTTGGCCATAACAGCAGGAGTTGGGGTAGAGGAAAGGCTGGCACTGGAGAATAAGAAGGATGATGAGCAGTGTGGTGCTAAAGAAGTTACTAAGAAATCTGTGGAGACATTTGGGCAGAGAACTTCGATTTATCGGGGTGTTACAAGGTTTGAAGAAGCTCTTCTTAAATTTCATACGTACTCCCAAGTTTTTTTTTTTCCCTTCTTATTTTATGTTTGTAAAGATAATAATTTCTCTAATTGATTCACAAGTAGCCATCATATTTGAGATGCATAGGTGTCCCACCTTGAGTTCCTAGTAATAATATGTGGGACGAAGTTAAAATGTTATATCTTCTTTCTTGTTCACTAACTATTTAATTAAATGAAAAAAAACTTCTTTCAATTAAATATATGTAATAAGTTAAGCTAGAAATATTTATGGGAAACAATTTAGAAAAAAAATTCTTATGATTTCAGGCATAGATGGACTGGCAGGTATGAGGCTCATCTATGGGACAATAGCTGCAAAAGAGAAGGGCAAACTCGAAAGGGTCGACAAGGTAAAAAAATATACATGAATAATTGTTTTAATTTCTGCATTTGGATGCATTAATTATTAACTTTTTGTTTCTCCCTCTCTATATATCTTCTCATTTTCATATGTATCTGGAAATGGATCCGTTGTTGTGCAGTCTATTTGGGTAAGTAAATTGTTACGCTTGAGCTTTTCTATTACATCTCCTCACTTATGAAGTAACGGGTTTCCTTTCTTTTTTATTTTTATTAACTTTTTCTTTTTACTAAATTTCAGGGGGCTATGATAAAGAAGATAAGGCAGCTCGAGCTTATGATTTGGCTGCTCTCAAATATTGGGGTGCTACTACAACCACCAATTTCCCTGTAGGTCATGTCTCAATTTGATTTTTCGCGTGATTCTTTGTGAACTCGATCGATATAAGTTTCCTCTTTTTAACATTCAGATAAGTAATTATGTAAAAGAAATAGAAGAAATGAAGCATATGACAAGGCAGGAGTACATTGCTTCTTTAAGGAGGTACTTTTTTACTTCTTTTTTGTTTAGGTTTCATGTTTATGTAAAATTTGATGATGGTCAGTTTAGTAGCTTTCTTCTGATTGCATCCAATGTATTTTGTTCATACAGAAAGAGCAGTGGATTTTCTCGTGGAGCATCTATTTATCGCGGAGTTACAAGGTAATTGTTCCAACTCTTGAGATATATAACTGATCAATACACATTTTCAGAAATGGCACCAATCATTTTATGACATTTTTGTGCAAATGAACAAAAACATAAAGTACATAATTAAGATCAATTACCATAATTTGATGACTCATCAAGGGAGTCCACACTTCTTTCTCTTGTAGTATAGCAGTGGTCGTGGTATAGAAGAGAGTAATGTAGTTACCATTATTCTGGTGTGTGATTAAATTTAGTCTTAAGGCTTTCTTCAGAATGATACGGTATTTTAATTTGCAAGAACATGAATAGATTTATTTCCCCCTTATATTCTTCTGGTATAGTGTGAATATGGTATTAAGTTGAGGTTTAAACTAATGTTTAATATACAAGATGATTGAGGGGATTACAGAAGTTTAATTGTTACAAGTGTGGTATAATGAGGTATATTTTCACAACAGGCATCATCAACATGGGAGATGGCAAGCAAGAATAGGAAGAGTAGCAGGAAACAAGGATCTCTACTTGGGAACATTCAGTAAGTTTTCTCTATTCAGTAAGAATTCGACGAGATGACTAATTATGTAATTAACAGTCATGTAACGTTTTTTAGTTTCTACATTTCAGTGTTAATACATAAAATGATGAAAATTTACACAAAAAACTTAGGGGGGGAAGAACATGTAACGTTTTTTACTACGTCGGAGTTTGTTGAAGTACTAAAACAATGTTAATAATCTATACCTAACTCACATCATATCGTATATATAGCCACCCAAGAAGAGGCAGCAGAGGCCTATGACATTGCTGCCATAAAGTTCCGCGGCCTCAACGCAATCACCAACTTTGAAATGAGTCGCTACGACGTTAAGAGCATCCTCGAGAGCAGCAATCTTCCTATCGGTCCCTCAACCAAACGTCTCAAAGACTCCTCTTCCTCTGATAATTCCTCCACCATTACCGAAGGAATCAGCAACTATGGCTGGCCTCCGACATTAGCCTTCCAACAAAGTCAGTACCCTTACAACAACTACCAGCATTCTTGGTGCAAGCAAGAAGAGGATTACAGCACAATGCCCGCACAAACCTTGCAGAATCTCAATAGCTATGGTATCGGCTCATGCTCAACCTTACTTGAACTCGGTACAGGGATGAGCTCAGATGTTTACTACAGTGGCAGGAATTTCCCCAGTGTTTTGGGATGGTCAGATTCGTATAAGAATGCATATTATGAACAAAGCAGTGGTTGCAGTGCACTGATGGAGGCTTCAGCTCAGGGGATAGCACAAGCAAATGTGTGCAACGGAGCTCCTCCTCTTTTTACAGTTTGGGATGAATCTTAAATGGCTGGAGGTGCAAATTGGGAAGAGGTGTAGAGCTTACATCCTGACTTTTGATTTTGTTTTTTGTGGAAGAATAGTTGTTAGTAGGAGATGGACATGATGATTCGTCTGATACGGTCTGGTAATGGCAAGTGAGGGTATTATTGTGTATTTATCCTCACTTAATAGCTGTTAATTTTGGGGATTTTTCGGATGAATTAGTCGATAGAAAGCTAATCTCTTTGTAACTTCAGACGTAATATAATCTGAATCCTTTGCTTCGGTCTGACTGTTAAGGTACACGGAAGTGAAAGAAATGGTTCCCTGTTGTAATTTGGCTTGCTTCTATTTTGGCCTAACGTATTTTTGGATGATCAAAAGGACAAATCATAAACAATCATGACAAGAAGGGCTAACATCAACCAGCGAACTATCACTTTAATGTCACAGAGAATCAAATGAAAAAGATATTGCTTCAAGCACTAACCATTTGTCTGGAGAAATAAAATAAAAATAAAACTCAGCATAACATTTCTAGCCGAACAAATGTAAACATTTAAGAATGCTTAGACAAATCTGCCCGTGACCTGCTCTCTCTCTCTAGTACTCACTCTACATGCAGTTTGAGGTACTGAAAGGATACACAGTTGAGCAATGTTGAAGCTCGTCGTAACTTCAAAACGAAACAAGAGTTCTCAAGATATTAGCAATCAGATTCAGTGAAAAGCTCTAAAGCATCAATAATAAACTGCCAACATTTTTTTTGACACCTTGTTCTCATTGCCCTAAAAATACATATGTAACTACATGGCAAATTGGCAATGATCCAATCCGGTAAAGTAACATGAGATGCATCTTTCAGGGGAGAACGAAAAGGTAGTAGTTAAAAAGCCAATAACAGATTTTGGTGGATACTTTAGTGTACATCTCAGAATCAATCGATACAGTTTTTTTATATACAGATTGTCTGTCTTGGGTAAAAAAGTAAAGCTTCAATTATATGATATAACAGTGATTACAAATCTTTGAAAAGAAGCTGGAATCTGGGTATTCTCTCTGGTGGGAGTGGGCAGCTGACTATCAGCTTACCTTTCATTGCCCCTCTAAATATAGCCTGCACAAAGCAAAAGTACAAATATTGGTTCCATTTATTGTAAGCTTAAAAGAAATATCAGCTTAAGTAGGCGATAAAAAGACTGCAGTGAAGGCAGTGGGACAATTCAAGTCATGTGGTTGATTTTCAATTAAACAGTGATGGTCGAACCAAACTGATGCCATCACAAATTGTTGGAAATGACTGGTTGCCCTCCGATAGACAAGCTCTGGAATAAAGTAATTCCTCTAGCAGAGTGTTAAGAGGGCTTTATCGTATCTACTATCCAGTTATGTTAAGGAAGTTAATTCTGCTCATAAATATGTAGTTCACAAAGGACAGATCTAGAAATTGAATGAAAGCAAGATAGATCGGTTTGCTATATAATTAAAGAAAAAACAAGATAGCAATTCAATTTTAAGTGGAAAAATAAATTGATGTGACAATATTAGTTCATGCATTTTTATTATCATATTACACTTGTAATAGCTCTAGTTCTTTGACAAACTGAAAACGAGATATAAATACATCGTAAAATTTACTTACTCCTTAGATTAAGGAGATCAACTAATTTACAAGACTCTAGAGTTGATGGTAATTTTTGTAAGTATTCCATATAATGTATTTCTTACGTAGTTAATTTAAAATTATTTATTAATATACAATAATTCTCCTTCCCTCTCAGATCTGATCTAGGTCTTGATTAGAGATGGGGCCAAGGATAATGAGAGAATATCCCTTTTTTTTCCTTTTCTTTTTTTTTTGCTTTCTTGGAGGTAGCAGAAGAAGATTTTCCAAGGGGCTTTCATGAATTTCAACCAAAGAAGAAAGAAGGCATGCCAAGGATATCACATTTGCATTGTTAAAGCGACTGACTAATGCCTCTGCATATAAGCATATAAGTTGGATCATAAGTTAACAGATAACAAGATTTGGAGGAGCAAAGGATAATTTTTTAATACCAAAGATTGGAGTTACATATGCAAAAGCAAAATTTTATCTGTTAAGAGACTACTAGTAAAACAGGATTTCTGTTAAGGACTAATAGCATAAAACCAAAGAAATATGTTACGTATTCACCCATATCCTTGAGCTTAATTTGACATTAGACCTCGGCGACATAACATTTCATAGAGGCCAAGCCCCTAACAGTATCCCCACTTACTGTGCATATTCTGAAGGACTAGCCCTAAAATATAAGGACCACATCATTTGGCAATAACCCCTCCCTCCCTCCCTCCATCTGAAGGACTAACTCGTTTGCGACAGCCCTATATAATATGGACCACATCATTTGCCATTATACACTCTCTCTCTTTCTCTCTCTCTCTCTCTCTCTCTCTCTCTCTCTCTGGTGGGGTTGGTAGTGAAAAATGTAGGGGAGAAGCCGAGAAGAAAGGGGAAGGGGAAGAGTGTCTAATATAAAATTCAGTTAATTCTAAGGCAATTCTATAATAAATAAATAAATAAATAGCCATTTATCATCTTAGACAAGGTATTTTTTTTATTTTCTTACATTAGTTGCCTGACCTTAAACAACATACACAATAATGTTCATCTACTACTAGCTATAAGTTCTATACCAAGCACTAACATAGGCCTGTAGCTTTGTGGGAAAGATGGCTGAGCCCAAGTCAAAGAATTAACCACAGGGTGACAACCCAGCCAGCTAGTCTTCTCTAAAAGTCCTCACATTAAAGTTTTGCACCACAGCCGAACTCCGTTTGTAGACTGGCACTTAAATGACAATAATAATTTATTGTTTCACATAAAAGATCCACATCAAATTAATTATATATATTGATTTGTATTACATCACATCCCACGGTACAGATTTTCAATTTTGAAATCCAAATTCCAGATTTCAGTTGATAGTATCCACATCTTAAATACTATTAATGGTAGCCTACCTCGACTCCTTAATATAATATAAATAACAATCAAGATCTTATTCCCAAGTTTCATGTTTACTTAATTCCATCTGAATGAAACAAAAAGCATAAAAACTGCAATTAAAAGTTGAAGCAGTGCACTAGAGTTTGAAGGCTAATACGCACCTCTACAACATCAATAAAATCCTGTTTGTAGTGGAAAGAGCCAATCCATTTAGTATGATCAGCAGTCCTGAATGAACAATTGCATTGTTTTTTGCCTTTCCAATGTTAGTAACCATTGATTTAAAGGAAAAAAAAAGAAGGCATTTTAAATTGAATTTGAGAATATGATTCTGTTCTTTGCTTTCCAACTTTCAAATATGCATCTTAAAGGTAATAGAATGTTAACTAAAAGACAAAAGCATATCATTGTTATACATTGTGTAAATTCTATTTTGACTTTACATCATTGTTATACATTGTGTAAACAAGTATATTTCTCAATGTGTACTATACAGGTAAATTATGATCATCATACAATATCCAAACTATTGTAAATGTAAATGCATGATGGATAAAATGCAATAGTTTTGAATATTTGTCAATAGTTCATGCTCTACACAATTTTTCTTAATTTGTAGGTGAATATACTTGTTTTAGTTTGCAAATGCAAACTCAATCCAGGAAATCCATTGTAATCGGCAATTTACCATTAAAGAGTGTACTATACACATGCATTTGCATACAATATATAGAAATTTCTGTTCTATCCAGCGAATGATAGGTGTTCCCATATATCTTTGACACTACATCATACCCATCAAAGCTGATTCTTGTTAGGACTTTTGACATTATTTATCCCACTGCTTATTTACTAAATGCATCCTTATTCAAGGAAAAATCACTAAACTGTTTCAATAGATGTGTTTGGATCGTTCAGATCTTGAAAAGATAGGAACTTTCTAGTTTTCTTTTCCATCCCAAAGTACTAGAAAAAATGAAATAAATGTTAATCATGGACGAAGCCTGAGCTTTTCTTTTTGTGACAGTGTTGTTACCTTTCATCCTTGTCATTGAGGATAAGTCTTCAATATTTCTATTTAAATTTTATCTGTGGAATTTATTCAATTTTTTAAGGTATGGATTATTACCATGCTGCCATAACATTGTATTTGAAACGTGATTCATGATTTGAGACATACACCAACTACATAAATACGTACATGGCCAGATTTCATTTATTTCATCTATAAACTGATTAACAAGAAAAGAATTGAACCTGCAAAAATGAGTACATCTCATTTGGCAGATCCAACCCTCCTTTTTATGCCATATCATTCTTCACTTCCAGTAATGTATGATAGCCTTATTTCTTGAATAACTATATTTGAAATAAATGTTAAGATTTTTTCTTGAATAACTGTATTTGAAATGCACAAGTTACATACTGCCCTATAAAGCTTGTACGAATTGAAATTTCAGATGTGTATGATTCATATAGTTGAAAGTGACTTTATATCTTGTTCTAGACTCCTCACACAAATTGAGTACATTTAATACATTTAAATTCCATGATATAACATGTGCAACCAAAAATCTCTAAGTTAATTGTTTAGTCACCGATGATTGTAAATTAAGTCAATTGTTGGCTTCCTACCATTTACTAGACAATAAAAGCCACAGCATTTGATTCATTTATTATCTCCAGCAAATCAAATGATAGTGCACAAATAACATTTAGACCTACATTATGGATAAGCACATCAACAGATTTTAACTTGAAACCAAGAAAAATTTAAAGAAATGTAATGCTAAAAATTTATGATGCACTCATCCATTGTTAAATCAATTACCAAATCCTCAAACCATTCCCCATGCATATTTTCCAATTTAATTGGCACTACAACATACTTTCACGTCTTGAACATTCAACATGAGTGAACACTACTAGTAGGTCAGCAAGAATATATGGAAACCACCAGTTAGTTGTCATGCAAAAGGGACTTTATACACTATATCATCCAGTGCAAGAGAAAACTAACACCAGCTACAGGAAACTTGACTTCAATATAAAAAGACAAAGGCCTCGATACATAATTCTCGACAAGACACTAATAATATAATTCTGGAATCACAAGCGAAATCCAACCAGCCCTTTATAGTTTATGCAATCTTATGGGTCTTATTGTTTTCTCATATTCTTTTGCATGTTCCTTATATACGTGAAAAAATAGGCAGAAGAATGAACTTTCTAACAATGTAATTTTCAACCATACACTGATATTCAAATTGGTCACAGGGTTCTTATTAACTAAAATAAATTGTCATCGAGAAAACCGATGTTGCCTCTTTCTAAATAAAAGGCTCACTGAAATTTATCACCATGCAGCATCAAAAATCACATTCTCGTCAAAAAAGAAAACTATGTGCAAGATAAGAGGCATACATGAAGAAACAGCCAAAAAACCACACATCTACGTGGAAAGCTAGTTTTAGTTACCAAAGTTTCAAGAAATTTATATAAAGAAAAAATGTGCAACTAGATAGTATCAAGAGTGTTCTAGCAGTTCATATCCAGGACAACACGTTGATACAGTATACAATTTGCATCTTCTAGTAATTCATGTCCGAAGCAACATAATGATATTGTTGGGGTTGAACACACAAACGACAACCCGTGCCCTTCCGGATCTTGTGACAAGAGTAGGCAAGCAAGAAATCACAGCAAATAAAAGAAAACTTGCAGAAAAGAACGAACAAAAAAAGAAAACACCAGATTTAACGAGGTTCGGCAAACGTGCCTACGTCCTCGGGAGCCACACCAGAAATTCTTTGATTAATTGAAGAAGATTACAATGCTCGCAATAGGCCACTCACTCTAAGATATTTGATCTTAAAGTGCCGTCAAAACCCTCTCAAAGACGTCCTCTCATAACCCTAAAAACGTTTTGGAAACATATATATACACAGTCCAAAAACAGATTCCAACCCGGATCAGGAAACTGCCAGACCCGACTTCGGTCGACCGATAGCATCGCATCGGTCAACTGGTTGATCTCCATCGGTCGACTGATAGTATTGCTTCGGTTGACTGGCCAAAACTCTGTTTTCTACAAGGTTTTCGTGCACGCTTTCGGTTAACCGGGGCAAGCCCATCGACCGACCGTCCCGAAACTCCTGTAGTTTTTCTTAGCTTCACATCGGTCGACCGATGAGCTTGTGTCGGTCGACCGATAAGGGAATTTCTGTGCAGTTTGTGATTTTGATTCCAGGTTTGGCTCTCCACTTCCGAAACCAACAATCTCCCACTTGGAGATCAAACCGCTATCAACGAGCTCCCGAACTCCCACCATCTTCGCAAGCATCTTCTCCTACCCGAAAAAAATCATTCTTCAATTAATATCATCTCGATGATCCCGTCTATCCTCTTAGTGTGGCTCCACCTTCGTCTCCTACGCGTGAAGACTAACTAAAATTGCGCACAACACCAGTTTCTCGATGGTCACTGCTTTCGTCAATATGTCCACAGGATTTTGACTCGCCAAAATCTTCTCCAATTGTAACTTACTGTCCTCTATCAGCAAACGTATGAAGTGGTAACGTACGTCGATGTACTTCGTTCTGACATGATATACTGGATTCTTGGCAAGATGTATAGCACTCTGGCTATCACAGTAAAGAACGTTGTTCCCCTGCTTCAAACTCAACTCTTCCAGGCACCCGATCAACCAAATCATCTCCTTACTGGCTTCAATCGCTGTAACATACTCTACCTTAGTCGTGGACAATGTTACTATCTTCTGCAAACGTGAGACCTAGCTGACTATTATCGACACTAAGATATAAACATACCCCGTGATACTTCACCTCGTATAATGATCACCGATAAAATTTACATCCACGTATCCCTGCGGTACCAATTTCTTCCTCCTAAAACACAATAGCATATACGTAATCCCTATCAAGTATCGTAATATCCACTTCACGACCTCCCAATGCTGTTTCTTTAGATTGCATGCAAACCTGCTCACAACTCCCACTGCATTGGCGATATCCGATCTCGTGCAAACCATTGCGTATATAAGACTACCAATGGCTGATGAATATGTCACTCTGCTCATATGCTCCTTCTCTGTATCTGTCTTGGGCGATTACTGTTGGCCTTCTTGTTTTGATGATGATTTACAAACAATTTACTACTAATGTTGTTTGTCTAGTGTTTGTGCATTCCTATGTATTGTAGACAAACAACGTTGTTGGAGGATGGATGGAATAGAGCTTCAACGATCATATCCAAAGGAGGTTGGCGGAATGTCGGTGAAGCCTATGCAATTCAAGTTAAAGATCAAGTTCAAGCTTCATCCGCATGTGTACCAAGTTGAGCTACAATGAAGATCAAGATCATTGCTTGGGTATATGAAACAAATGAATAGAATTGGAAAATACTATTTTGTTTTATGTTTATATGCCTACATATGATTTCCTCTTTAACAAGCTTATATTTAATGAAATCATATTTAGTGTTTTGTATATATTGCATAGAATATGCAATTTTGTGAAAATATGGTATTCATTGTTTTTGGACTTAACAATAATCATATCCATATTTTATTAAGTCTATATAATCATTGTGCAAAGTTTCAAAACATGGTTTAAGTCAAAATATCAATTTTCAGGTTTTCATGTTTTTGAACATATTTGCAAAATGATGATTTTTCACAAATGGAAAATGCAATTTGAAAAATTCTTTTTGTAACATGTTTGTTTTCATGTTTATATACACTTCCCAAAGTTTCATAATTTTTGGACTTCATTTGTTATTTTTAACAATTTTCCAAAAGTCAAAAATTTCTGCTGTGTCAGTTTTCGGTCGACCGCACCGGTCGACCGCTCGTTTGGTTTTTTCGGCATTGGGCGACAGAGAGTCTGTCGGTCGACCGGTCCGCTCGACCGATAAAATTTTCCGGTCGACCGATGAAATTTCCGATCGACCGACAGTGTCTTTTTCAGCTTCCAACGGCTCTTTTTATTACCGTTGCTTTGGGCTATTTTTGTCTTTTTGTTTGGGTTTTTGGCTGAGTTTTGAGAGGGTATAAATACCCCATTGCTGTCATCTTTCAACAAACAAGAGAATGGTTTTAAATTTTAATCAAGGGTTTAAGTTTGTTTTTAGTGTTTGTTTAAAAAGCTTTTAAGCATTTACAAGAGTTTGGTTTGTGGAGCAAATTTCACAAGAGCAAGTGGAGATCA